TACAAGTTTACTGTCTCAAAAAAATTCGTTACAAATAACGGTGGAAACCCCTCTGTTAGACTTTCATTTCCGGGGGTAACGACTTCCTAGGCATAGCTGCGTAGGAATTGCTAGCCGTTGAGTAGCGATGGACGCCTTCCTGGCGGCATGTCACGAAATATTACAATTTCGCTTCAATATCGCCACAGTAATTTTCTGAACAGTTACCGTCAAGAGAGCTTATGTGTTATGTGCCGAGTGACAGTAATTACAAGGCCTGTTATTGCAATATACAGTTCGCAGCTACCCCACTGTACTCGTATTACACTGAATCAGTCGATTACTTCTTGCGTAGAAATATCACGTGATACTTACACGTTAAAATGAGTGTTCAAAGGCAATACCCATGTGAACACGTGGGTCTCAGCATAAAATTCAGGATGTTACATTTTCAAGTAGAAACACTAATCATAGATTCATACATAAATAAATTAGGCAGTATTATTATTGGACAAAAGAACATAACAAAAATTCCGAGTGCTTATTGAAAAGAAAGTGGAGAACATCGTTACTAATCTTAAATATTCCCCTCGAAAGTTTCTTACATATCTTGAAAAGCAGTCAGTGTTTTATTCCCCCCCTCCCCCCCCAAAAACAATCCTCATCGAAAGAGTATTAACATTTTATGCAGGTGCAAGCAATACATGTGTAGTAACAGCGACTATTCCTCTCACATAAGTGACATGACTGGCGGTTAGCCTGTTGCGCTGCGGATCCGAACACGCGCAGGAAAACTGACGCGAGGATCTTGTGTTTCTTATGCTGGACTGACCAAACGATTTTCGGCAGGTTCACAGATAATCCCCATTACATCAATACCTGCCAAAATTAAATTCGTTTGACGTCTAATGCAGATCCGAAATACCAAACGTAGAAACACTTTCAGTAGTTTCCGGTATGAAAACTGTAGACACACACAACGTCCTCTGCGTGTGTTTATTTTATTCAGTCAATCTCACACAAATGTACTCTCGTGATAGTTTGCATTGGTGTCGGCTCCCATTTTAACCCAGAGACCAGCTAAACCAACAGATGGCTTTAGTAGTATTCGTCAGTCCGTTCAGACGAAAGTTTCGTTAATATATTTAAATATGTGACGACTATTTCCTGCCAGACCCTTCCCAGTTCACCAGTATTAATCGCCCAAGCTTTGAAGTTACTTAAATTAGCCTGTTAATAAAACACAGCTATCTAATCAAGACTCCAATTTCATGATTAAGGAAACTACAAGCGGTAGGTGGACAACTGAAGACCATAGATGGAAATATTCTGCGACCACTACTTGTCTCTCTCAAAATTCAGCCGCACCCTCGCACTTGTGTTTGGTGTCGTAGTGGTCAAAACTAAACCAATAATTCATGTTTTTTCTTATTTTCTTTTCTTGGGGTGGGGTGAGACTGAATCCACGTGGTACTTAGGCGACTAATTGGCCTAGTGTTCGTGGTCTACTCGACAGTTAAAGCAACTGAAACCTCAGACTCAGGATTCCTTTGCTAATAATACTGGTGATAAGGAATGAAGAAAGTGGGACAACCCCGATAAAGTACGTCGTTGTCTTCACAGTTACATAAGCAGGAGCCCTCGGATGGGCGATCAGTAAATATCCAACTTCATACAGGGGGCACCAGAAGGCTTCAAACGAACAAACAGCACAGAAATCTGACGGAGTCTGAAGCTACGACTAGCCAATATATATAAGTCTACACTGAGTGAAACCTTACCTCCCGTACACCTTCATGACGAAGATGTTAGACGTAAGGGCACTTTTACAACAGATTCCTTCAAATCACGTTATGTTCTTCACTAAAATACTTCATACGACCTTACACCTGCTCCTTTTGTATTCAGAGCAGTCCAGTTAGCAATACTGCTTCATATCCGTGAGGCCTCCAGTTCCAATATCGACAAGGAAGCTAGGCAGCCTGCACTAACACGGCATATTATTTTTTTTTTATTGCTAGTGGGGTGGGACTAAGTTCCTTGTACTGCGGCCACTTCTGGCCTATTTTACCAGCCCCAGATGATAGGTGAGGGTGATTGTGGAGCAATTGGTGGAATGAAGATTGGCAGGGGAAACCGAAGTACTCGGAGAAAACCTGCCCCAGCGCCACTTTGTCCACCACAAATCCCACTTGACCAGACCCGGGATCGAACCTGGGCCGCCGCGGTGGGAAGCCAGCGACTAACCGCTTGAGCTATGGAGCGGCCAACACGGCATGTTAATGACGCTGTCAGTCACTCAGGACCGTCTCTCTGCTCTATTGGTCAGAGTTCCTGGCTGCAAATCCAGAGGTCCGATTTCTATTCAAGGCGCTACTAGATTTTCTGAGAAGTAGCGGGTCTGGAACGGGGTTCACTCAGCCTCGTGAGGATGATTGAGGAGCTCTTTCAAGGAAATAGCGGCCCCGGTATAGAAAACCGAGATTAACTGCCGTGGGGATCCGTGGCGCTGACCACGCGACACCCTCTATCCGCTAAATTTGGCACTAACTTCGCCGACAAGCGGCGGTCGCACGGTCGTTATTGTTCGCTTGAGGACTAATACCACGGAGTTTGTTTGATGTCGGTTGCTCAGACTATGCAGCGTCGAATGGTAGTATGATGAACAATATGAGGACAGAAGCCATTGTGGCCGAACTTGAGGCATTATCCGAAGCTACGAAAAACCTCAGTTAGAACGACCAGTATCACGGCCAAGATTCGAACTGGACATCTCCCGAATGCAAGTCGGAAGCATTACTAGTAGAACCTAATTACTCGGTGCCGGCAACCCTGATCAAGAGTTTTCGTAATCTTCCTCAGTCCCTCCAGGGGTGTCATGAATTGCTCGTATATATTTCCCAATACAAAATCGGCTTGTCCTTTCCCATTCGACATTATGCGTATAACTATGATCTAATTCGTTAACTAAGTGTCGTTAATTACAGCAAGGAATTTAAAATATGCAAGAAGTTCTGGATAGAATTAATCGCTTAATTTCCTTTGGTACGTCACGAACCGCATAGAGAACGACGCCAACAATTCTTCGTTGTGCGGGAACGTCTTTACCGAGTTGTTACCTAGCAATGACAAGGGGATACACAGATCCACAGACACATACGTCCAGCAATTCTATTGTCGCGTGCATTTTTTGCCACGGGAACATGTTAGCCAAGATGTTGCCTAGCGACGGAAGGAGGGATACACATGAGTGTGAGTATGAGTGTGAGAGGTGAGGCATAAAACCGGTCCTCGAACTGCGACCTTCAACGATCTCTTGTGCTTCCCTTTTGGATTAATCCTTTATTATTTATTATTCTGATGAAATGTAGGACTTTATTTATGGGGGCGTCATAAAAGTTACTTGGTTACATTAAGAACTGACCCAGGTGACGTTATCTTATGTAAGCTATAGCCTCACAATCACGTAAGTGGCTGATGTGTGGCTGATTCATCTTCTTGTAGGCACTTTTCACAAGTTGGGTCCCAGTCAGTCTCAGTTTGAAAAGATGCCCTTTTAGGTGGCAGTGTCCAGTAAGGGATACACACACTGACACACAGACTGATGGGATGGTTTTATGAAGTACGCCGCTGAGACTGGCTCAGGTGTCATGACATACCATATATATATACACACACACACCAAGGTTCATAAAGATTGGTTCAGGTATTCAAAAGCTATTAGAGGGATTCGTAAGCACACAGACAATATGAAGTTCGCATAAGCCTACTTTAGGAAAGTAAGATAAAAATGATAAACCGAACAGGCGCAGAAGTGAAGCTTCTCTTGCTCCACACCCACTAAATTCATTTCAAAATAGAAACATCAAGAATTGCAGTAGAGGACTATTTATCAGGGAACCAGGCCTTCATGTTGACATGAGTCGAACTTTCTCTGTTTCCACAGACGACAGGTTTCATATTCGCCGGTCTTTGAGAAGTTCATAACTGCAGAATTTCAAGAGACCATGAGGTTACTGCTGCTTCTGGATTTTGCCTTAACACTGGACACTGAAGCTACCCCACTTCTGATGACAGTGCCATGAATGCGTATGGATGATTTTTAGGTACAGTTCTATTTGACATAGGCAGTAAACGTCGGTGAGTTGTCGGCTTCGGACTGGAAAAGAGCTCACGATGGCGGCCATTATATCACAGACTGAGTGCACATCAAAGTATCGGAGAGAAGAGCCCTCTCCCCAAATATTCCTACTGAGTGTAAAATACTTTCAGGGGGAAAAATATATACTTACTGAACCACATGTTCAGAGCAATGGAAAGGGCAAAGAGATTAATGACAAAGAAAATGCACATAACAACACAAATATTTGTCCCCTTAAATTTCATAGTTTCTGTCCGAATAATTGTATTTGATTAAAAATAATTAAGTAATCGGAATTTCTTGTTTCACGTCGCGTAGATGTTTTCTGAGCCCATACAGCAATTTCCCTTCCACAGTCAACAAAATTTCAATATAAGTGTACTCCCACTATCTTTGCGTTTTTCTTGTTTTAGAGGTCTGCCATATTTTTTACATTAGATAATGCACAAAAAATCTTTTTCAATACCAATTCTTATATATGAAGATGATATATGTAACATGTATCATGTATATCAAAAGATCCTATAACTGTTAACAAACACACATTTTAGAAGGTGCAAATGACTATTTATAAATGCGAAATCCCAAACTTACTGAGGCTCTCGTGCGCAGAATTTCATGTGAATCAGTTCACCAGAGCACTGCTGGTACAGACGGACAGACACAAACTCCCCATAACGCTCTCGACTGTAAGTGTGCCTACAAGTGAAATGAATTGTTCTAACCACGAATTGCCGTATGTTAACGGATTGTGAAGAATTGAAAATCTCTGTGGCGTCGCAGTAAGGTTAAAGGTCAATACGGAACACGGCAGTCTGATACAATCAATACACCTGCAGGGTTTTCTTCAGGCACAGTGTAAAGTAGGTGGGGCACTCACCCCAGGTGTCCTAGCTGTCCAACGGAGACGTCATGGCCCCATCACTCTCGCAAGCACACGGCAGTATTCTGTGTGTCGTATTTCTGGCACGATAAAACACTCACTGATTTACCCAGCTCCCGGGGGTTTGACGGGCTGCCAAGATGCGCTGCACGCAGAGGGCTCTAGCGGGATGCTGCGGAACTATGCGCTCAACCTTTATGGATCCACAAAAGAAAATAAATAAAAAAATAAAAATCGAGCTCAGAGATTGTGATCTTATAAAGAAACAAATTACAACATTGTCAGTACATAATCATTTCATGGCGTTTCGTCAGCTGTTTTTGTTATGTAGCATAAATTATAGTAAGACTATAAATTGTGAATTAAGGCAGCCATGATCCGATTTAGTCTAGCATACCGCCATGCACGAAGGAGGACTGAGCAACTGTTACTCCGGGTCGGACCGTGCCCTAAACACAGAGCAGTTGTGTCGAGACGAAATGCCACATTTCATGCTGAGTGAAACAGTGACTGAAGCAAACAGTTCAGCTAATTTCAGAATTAATGGCTGTTGTTTCGATAGCGATGAAACATCAAGTGGCTCATGACTACAGCCAGCCCTTCGCTAAATAAAACAGGCAAATAGGGAATCTTGCCGTAAGGATCTTGGTATTTTTTTGGTATCATCCTGAACTATGAATTGAACCCTGTTGGTCCACTACCACATGTAGACACATGTGCTGTATTCCTTCCCGCCTGCTCTCTGAAACGCGAAACTTGAGTTTACAGGCCGTTTGGCGTCAAAAAAGTGCAATGTAACTGAGGGCCATTTTAAGGTTATCATCTGGCCATTCTCACAGAATAACTGATGAAAGCCCCTAAGAATGCCCAATAGAACTGGGAATCGCTGGACTCGAACAGGTTCGCCCTGGCTGTAAATTGAGTTAACCTGCCGGTCCCATTAATTTAAATGTCCTTAATATTTTCTTTGCACAAAAGTTTTCAAACTATTATATTTGTTACTATAAAGTGTGTCTTAAGAATACATGAACTTGGCGAGCGTGTAAAGTACGGTACAAACTCACACATAAGGCTATGGCTTGTGACTGTTGAAATACAGATGCAGTATTTAATGGTCCTAAATAATAAATATTATATAGCTACATCCTTTTGCTTATAACCCTCAGAACTAAATGGCATATCCAATCCTGTCTTCTTTGTAGATTCGTATATTCAGGCTTTTATGATATTAACAACTTGACAACTGAACCTAACAACTGTGAAGCAGGTTAGCCCTATCTGAACTCCCTCTTTAACTCGTTGGCCTTCCAAAGAATTGCAGGTCATATTATGGTGGATCATACGGAACTAATTTTTGGTAATGGAAACGAAGTCGCTCTGGTTTGAATCCAGTAATATAACCTACCAGCTGGCTGCTGATACCATCCTGCTAGGTGGTCTAATAAGTCCCCATTACTTACTTACTTACTCTTGGAGCTGAGCCCTTCTGGAGGAGCCGCTAATTGTGCCCTTACTCCCAAATTTCCCAGCATTTATGGAACCCGAAATTTCATTACCATGTTCACAAGAGCCCTCCACTGGTCCCTATCCTGAGCCAGATCTATTCAATTCATACCATCCCATCCCATCTCTCTAAGATCCATTTTAATATTGTCCTCCTACCTACGCCTTGGTATACCCAGTGGTCTGTTTCCTTCTGGCTTTCCCACCAATATCCTATACGCTTTCCTCGTCTCCCCATTCGTGCTACATGCCTTACTCACCTCATCCTCCTTGACTTGATCATTTTAATCATACTTGGAGAAGAGTACAAGTTATGAAGCTCCTCATTGTACAGTTTTCTCCAACGTCCTGTCACTTCATCCCTCTTCAGTCCAAATATTCTCCACAACACCCTGTTCTCAAATACCCTCAGTCTATGTTACTCCCTTAATGTCAGAGACCAAGTTTCACACCCATACAGAACCACAGGCAAAATTATAGTTTTATATATTCTAATTTTTGATACTCGAGTTCAATCTCCTCTTAATTTCCTCCTTAATCAGGTTTCGATCTGTTATCATCGTTCCCAAATATCTGAACTGTGCCACATTTTCAAAACATCTGTTTCCTATCTTTATATCATGATTTTGCCCTGTATTCTTGTGACGAGACAGTAACATATACTTAGTATTCTCTGTGTTTACTTCTAGACCAACCTTTTTTTTTCCTGTGGCGCTACAGCCCCAATTTGGGCCTAGGCCTACCTCCATGAAACTCTCCGTTTCACTTCGGTTTACTAGATCTTACACATAAGGTAGGACTCCTTGGGCGAGTGATCACCTCGTCGCAAGGCCTCTACCTGTAGACAAACACAGAAAAACGCACACAAACATCCATGCCCTGAGTGGGATTCGAACCCACGATCCCTGCTTCCGAGCGAGCGAAGACAGGGCATGCCTTAGACCGCTCGGCTACCGTGACCGCAGACCAACCTCTTTACTTGTGTCAATTAAAGTTAGTGTGTTTTTCTTTATGGTATTTACATTGTCATCCTGTAGATTCACATCATCGGCATAGAACAACAGCTGATGTGTCCCGTTTAATTTCAGTCCCACCTGGTTTCCCTGGACCTTCCTAATTGGATATTCTAAGGCAAAGTTGAAAAGGAGTGGCGATAAAGTATCTCCTTGTTTTACTCCATTCTGGATAGGAAATTTATCAGACAGATGTTTCCGTACACGGACTTTACTGTACTTTATTTAAACACATTTTAATCAACCTAACTAGTTTCATAGGTATCCAAAACTCTATCAGAATATTGTACAATACTTCCCTCCTAACTGAATCTAAGTTTTCTTGAAAATTATTTACTTTGTGTGCAGATGCATTTGTGGATCTGATTGTCTATAAAATGTATATACAAGAATGGCCTAGGCAATGCCCATCCAGCCCCTTGATCGTCCTTGATTGTCAGCATTCAAGCAGACACTTCTTTTGCCATCTACGGCCGAATATTACATAGAACCGCATTGGCTGAATGGAAAACTGCCCTTGCTAGACTGAGGAGCGGAGATGAGCTCTGTCCCAACAATATAAAGAGGGGTAATGGTCTCGCCCAATGCAGGTAATGAAGGTCTCTTATTTGCATATTGAAAATATGGGGGAAAATTTCCATAAGTACAACAACAGTTCTGAGAATTTTAATCTAATCTAAAGAAAAGCAGTCTACTAAAAAAGTATCCTAGCTCTTAACTAGCCAAGTGCTGGGTCAGAGATCAAGCCCAAAACTTGAAAACCGAGAATAAGAAGTAGTGTAGGTAGTGTAAGCTCTCTCATACGTAGTAAGGTGACGTAGGTTGAATATGGGGCAAAGGAAAAATTGTGATTTTCAACGTAAAGCCGAAGAAACTTGGAGAAATACCTGCTGAATGTCACTTTGTCCAACATGAATCTCACGAAGTCAGTTGTCATTGCATCTGAGGCTACGCGATGAGAAGTCCCGAGTGACCGCTTGAATTTTGGCAAGGCCTAGCAATTTAATGTTCAGGTTTTCAAATCAAAGTCAGAGACTAAGGAAAGCGAATTGAATTCAACTACCATTGTGAAATATGGTACAGTCCACAATCTGCAGCGTAATGAAAATCCGTCATGTTGGTAGTAAGAATTCCACGTAATACTTGAACCAAAATGAATAAAACACCCATTTGTAGCAGCAGATGTTGGCTAACTTCAAGGAACAGTCCCATAAGAGAAGCTAACAGCCACTCAGCTAGTCAAGAAAATTATCGCCCTTCATGGAACCAAAAATTCATTCCAGTGTTCACAAGAGCCCGCCACTGGGCAATATTTAGAGTCAGATGAATTAAGTCAACATACTCATTCCCTGTTTCTTTAAGATTCATTTTAATACTGTCCAATCACGGAAGCCTAAATATTTCCAGTGGTAAGTTACCTTCTGACTTTCCTTAAAAAATTGTGTAGATGGACTTCTCATCTGTCTCATCCGTGCTACGTGCCCAACATAGCTCATCTTTCTTGGACCAGCACATCTTCTTCTTCTTCTTCTTCTTCTTCCTTGGGACTACACCCCCAGTGGGCCTAAATCTACCTCCATGAATTTCTCCGTTCACTTCGATTTTTCTAGATCTTACACATTCGGTAGGACTCCTTGGGCGGGTGATCAGCTCGTCGCAAGGCCTCTACTTGTATACAAACACAGAAAAACGCAAACACAGAAACTAAACCTCCATGCCCTGGGTGGGATTCGAACCCACGATCCCGGCTTCCGAGCGAGCGAAGACAGTACATGCCTTAGACCGCTCGGCTACCGTGACCGGCAGCACATCTTACCCACAGAAATTGCTAACACAAAACTCGTGAAAATGAAACAAAATTTGCGAAGTATATAAAAATAGCAGCGCTTCAGACGTGCGCATTCCACTCTGATATATACTATTTGACGGTCATTATGCTTCAGATAACAAGGTGTTCCTACGTTATTCATCTAAGTTTTGTCTTCTATTACAGCCTGATCGAAGAGCATTTATTGAAGTGTGTTCCAGCACATTGTAGCTAAGGGAATGGTACACGGCATTAATCTGTCACCCGCCCATCGACCTCACATTTGACACTGCTTGGGGAGGGTCCTCACCTGCCTTTGCTAGTCTAGACGTTAGTCATGGGGCACAAACCGATAATACAAATTGGTTCTTGCGCTTTTTACTCTTCGGCGTATACTACGTTGCGAAATGAGAAAGAAACGTACGTCGGACAAGGCGGCTACGTCGCTAGCAGGAAGCCTGAGCTTCGCGGCCCACTTGTAGATCCATAATTAGACTTATGACGTATACAGGTTATCTTCATTGGTTGCATCCTGTAGTGTGCTATATATATATATATATATATATATATATATAAGAATTATGCCACCGTCACTACAACAAATACAGTTTTATTTTCGATCTTAAACTGCTACATGTTTCGGTCACATAAGACGATCATCAGGCAGTTGTACACAGGAATACGCAGACATTGAAAAATACCGATATGGATCCCTATTGGTGCAACGCGTCCTGTTATGTACTGACATGAACCTCTTGCCTCAAGTTTGTGTTATCATAAAGTGGCAAATATATAAAATGAGATGAAAGTCAATGTAACCGTACGTACCCTCGCTAAA